TGTGGGAAGGTATAATGCCTGTTTCCTGTTTCAAAAGCCCATGAAACCTCCTCGCTGAGGACAAAATCTAAGGATAAAGATTTCTCTTCTCTAACAGCAAGAGGTGCCCAGCAGCCATGGGGATAAGAGTTGCAGGCTTTAGGACCTCAGGAGAGTGGTTAGCTGAGACCAAAGGAAAAAGACCTACAGCAGCCCATCTGCTAAGGGAGGGTAGGGCCAAGCTACTAGTCAATAAGGAACTTTTTAAACTCTTTAAAGTTTTCCAATGTGGGGATACATTGTTTCGGCTAAGAAGGCTTTTCCTTTGGCAGTCTTTACCCAAGCATTCCCTCTGTACACAGTTTCTGAGCAGTTCAAGTGGACAGCACGGTGCAACCGGACACTTGGGTCCAGAGCTCAGAATAGCCCCAGCCCTGACCTGGCCCCTCCCTCCCCATCTGATAGGTTTTCATTCCCTCCTTCTCTGCAATTACTGTTCTGACCACTATAATTATTAACAAATGTTTTCCAGGCCAGGCTCCGCCTTTTTTCTTTAGAACACCACCTTCCTCCCATACACATGAACAGAGCATCACAATATCTTCTACTGAAAACCAGCTTAAGTCATTATGACTTCATGTCTGTAAAATGTTAAGGTCCTGACCTCCAAGAAGTCAAAGGCCCCCATTTCATCATTTTAGTCTCTGTTTTCAAAACATAGAACAGAACAATAAGACGGGTTTGGAGAGAGGGGCTTTAGTGGCTACTTCTTCTTATCACTCCATACATATATGCAAGATAAAACTGAAAATGACCCATGTAACATCGAACAGGATACCAAGGATAAATTACAGACCATATCATATACCACTTGACTTTAAGGGCTAAGAACAAAATACTAACAAAGACTATAAGCAGAGATATGAGAGTTATATAATTTTGCATATGCTTCATTTAGTCCATATTATGTATTGATGAACACATCTTTGGTTTTAACAAATATTTGGTGATTGGGCAATCACCCAATCGGTCCCAAATACTGCCCTACACTTCCAAAATGAATTTCTCTGAAAAGCCTTCATGATAAATTCCAGAATTTGAAACAGTACTCTCTTTCTTAATGACCATCGGGGATAGTAAGATTTTTAGGATTATTCCAGTCTTTAACAAGAGGGAAGGCACTTCCCTTGGGGCTCAGCTTTGAAATGGAGAGAAACTACCACACTGTACCCTAACAGCTTTGAAATGGCACCAAGCAAGCCTCAGAAACAGACATTTCAGACCACATTGTCCTGCTGTTATTTATGTGTCCTGAGTTGCTAGTTGGATTCAAAGTTCAGGAGAGGCCCCTCCTCTTGAACTGAGCACTGCCAAGGCCGCTGGGGAGTTACCTAGCCTAGCCAAGCCAAGGCCTTATCTCAAAGGATAAGGTGGAGTTTGCTCTTTTTCCCCTATTGCAAAACATGAGAATATTAAGTAATCTGTTTATATCACACAGATCCAAAATCCAAGCTGACTCTTTTGAGACAGGGTCTTCAGGCTGCCCTTGAACTCATGATCCACCTGCTTCCGCTTCTCAAGCACTGGGTATACAGATACATACCACTCTGCCAATCTCCAAGCTGACTGTTTGTTTTTAATCTATATAATTTCCTCCCATCTTGGGGTAGGTCGGGGGAAGCTATCTCAAGCATGGCTTGACCAACAAAGCCTGGCAACTTCCCCTGTCTATGCTTGAAATCAAACCCAAGACCTCCAATATACATGAACTCCCCGTGGCCTGCATTGTTCTGGCAGCACCAATTTACCATCCACTGGCCAGTTCTATATAGCAGGGCCTAAGAATAAGTGTAGGCTTTTCCATTCAGAGAAGATATCTGTGTCTGAACCACAAAGCTCTTTCTCCAAGTTGAGACACTTGGCACTGGATGTTAACTGCAAAGCCATACACAGCATAAGGTGACCTGTGAAAGAATGGATCTAAAAATCTTCCATTTGTTTTTCCCAGATCGAAATTAGCACTTGGCTTTCTTTTCAGAATTGCTGTATCTAAGCCATTAACACATGAGGGAAGATTTATGAAAACACAGTTTAAGTCTTCAAATATATGCGGCATAGATAAGTTCATTATTTAAACAAAAGATGACTGCTCTCCTGACTCACTCTGTTCTCTGCGAGTTTTGCAGCTGATGGCTCTCAGTTGAGATTTTTTAGGAGGTGGATTAAGTGTTATGCCGCCCACTGAGAGGAAAGTTGAACAAGGTGAACTGGGAGCATGGCCTGAAGTCTCAGTTTCTCCAGCCCCAGAGCACTGTTAGAAGAAGCCCAGGCGAGCTTCTTCTGGCCTCAGTGAACTGAATCAAGGCATCCCACCTCAGGAATTCTAGGAAATATTTTCCCTGTATGAACATGTCAAGCCAACTATAGCTCCTGACCTCAGTTACTAAAACTTATGGAAATTACTAAAAAGCAAAGCTTTTAGCTTACTTTTGCAAGGTGTATTATAATATGCTTGAATTGTGGTCATCTTAGAAGGAAAATAAATAACTTCTGGGGTCAAAGGAAACCTAACTGATAATTTACAGGAAGGTGTTCTCAGCTCATTGTCCTTTGAACTCTCCATCCTTAAGCCACAGTATTAACCTGTGCCAAAGTGTGCCAAAAATTCAGCTATTCAGGAAGTAACACGTTGTTCCCCATCTGTAATGCCCTTTTTATGAAATTACAAATAATGCAATACACCCATAACCTCGAGAAACACATCCCCATTTAAAAGTCCATCTCTGTCAGTCGTCATGACGACAACCATCCATTTCCTCATTCATCACAGGAGCCACGGATATGCCACCAAACCTTGGTCCATTTCAACTTGGTATCCCTTGTTACTCTTGGAACCCTCACCCAGAGCTAATGTTATGTTTCAATCCCGCCATCTAACTCTATCTGATAAAAAAACAGCTGAGGGGTAGGGGTGGGGGTGGGGGGCAAGTAGAAGGGCGTTAAAGGAGAAAGAACCAGTTCGTAACTTCCAGTTTGTCTACTGAAGGAGCGTCTCCATGTTGGAAGTCTTACACCAAGTCCACCATAAGCAACTCTCATGCTAAACGTCCTCAACAAGAGACAACATGACATGCCTTGACATAAAAGGGATCAGACCAGGCACCAGCCAGCAACACGAATGAGCAACTCTAATGTGGTGTCCTGTGAATGGGAAAGAACAAACTTCACTGCCACTAAAACCAACATGCTTTTGGCCACTTCTATAACCTCTGGTTGCCTTTTTCGCTTCTCTCCCAAAGAGAGCGGGCTACAGAGTTGTGTGTTATTTATGTTATGATGTATTCTGTGATCCATAGATTAATTTTTTGCTTGAAAATCAAGGGAAATAATTCAGGAAATACAGTTCTTTGTCAAAGCTTTCAGAACCGGAGTACGGTCGCCCGCTGTGGCACTGCGCTCTAGATTGGAAGCACCTTCAGGAGCTGAGATTTACATCTCCTGAGAACTCAGCTAGGGCCCTGTTCTCAAGGAGAATGTGTGCACATTCCCACTCCCAAGGATTTTTCACCCTAATTGTTCTAAGACCATAGAGTTTTCACCCAGACCGGCATTATTTCTTTTGCTCTGACTTGGTGAATGTATCTCCTCCTTTACAGTCGGGGACAATGACTGCAATGAAGTTTCAGCAGTGAAGAAAAGTTTTACTCTTTTGCCTTCTGCAACGTGACATTTTTTTCCCATAGTCATGTTGTAACAACTGAAGGGAACCCATAAAACTATACAAGAGAAAATACTGTAGTTTCCATTTTTCTAAGAAACTTAGACATCCAATTCTTGTTAGTCTGTTTCAAGGCTTAAGTGTGGGAAGCCAGGGGGTGGGGCAGAGAGGGCACAATCATCCATGCAACAGGGCAGAGGAAAGTCACTAAGGAAACATGAGAAACAGCATAACCACCATCCTGGGGTTGTTCCTGGGAGCACAGGGGCACAAAAACCCTTGCCCTGGTGCTCCATCTGCTTGAAGAACCACTCTGGGAACATGCAATCTCCGCTTTCCTCTTCTCAACCTCATTGTCCTCTGCACCAAGGTTTAAGGAGGCACGAAATGCTAACCACGAGGACCTGTCACTCCACAGCCCCCAAAACACAGAACTGCCTCTCAAGTGACACTCACAGGAGGAGCTGATCACATCGTTCATCTGTGGGTTCCATTGGATGCTATCTATAGCCCTGATACTAAATACCAATAATAGAACGCTATCTATAACCCTCATACTAAAATTCAATAATAGAACATGTTTGCGATGCCCTCATATCATTACCTCAATAAATACTAATGAAACTCTGCTTTCTCACTACCAACCGAGTGGTAAGTACTCCCTCAACGTTATTGATAAGTCAGGAGGTTAGTGGAGGGGGATGCATGCTCAAGTATGTCAGCACCAGATAAAATGGAACTCTTCTTCAGTTTTAACAGGCACTAGAAAGAAACATTAGCGCAAGAGGTTCTGAGGAGTTTTCAGATCAAAAATCCTCGCCTGTGGTTTTCTTAACTAAGGCTCATCCATGACAACCATTCTCAACCCTCAGCTTAGACCTGTTTTCCCTACAACAATGAATATTGTTCTCTCCCCCAGCAACATCTGCTTCTCTCCTCTGTAAGCTACCAGAAAAGAATAGTAGAATATGCTAACAGTCATATTTCTATAGATCTGGTGGCTTCCTGGAATTACCTAGTAAAACATTCATTTCTGATGGGGACGCAAAGCTTACATGAACACCTGCTTTAAATTAACACTTTAAAAAAAAATGTAACAGGTAAGACCCTGCTGGTTTCGAACCTCAGGGTCAGATGAAGTTCCTAAAATCACTTCCTGTATTGAAGCAAAAGGTAGAGATTAAGGAGATCCCCACAAGCAGGACTTGGCGTTTAAAAATACAAAATGCACAAACTGTATGACTGTCATGATCTACAGAGACAAGGACACAAACACACACTTTCCCAGACCCACCAGGCTCACCTTCTACTTCTTCTTCATCACACACATGTTTAAGGAAGGAAGCCCCTCTGTCCAGGACAGCTTCATCCTCCATCCTATAGTAATAGAAAAGAAAAAAAGAATGCTCAGACTTCTCCTGAAGTGAGCCACTTGAAGCAGCCCAGCTTCTGGGCAGGTTAACCTGCAAGCTGTTGTTCATGATTGCAGCAGGGTAGAGTCCCTCTCCTCTTCCTTTGGTGGCTGTCACTCCTTCACGCAGCTCTTCTCATCTGGTGCTGGAGAATGTGCTGGCCCCACATAGCTTCAGTTCTAACCTTGAGAGGGTAGCCACATGGATAGGGAACAGAAAATAATCCCAATCTTTGTAGGCTGGATATGGAGGGGGAATGCTCCCTCTGGGGAGTTGCAGAAGGGAGAAACAGAGATGAAAGCAAAAGGAGAAAAAAAATACCAAGAGAGGAAGTTTGGTGTGTCTGGAGTGCTCGTGATAGTCGTTTGTGGAAATCCAGTTTCTGTGCTTAGCTCTTTAAACACCCACTGCACAAAATGTATACCCTCATCTGAGCACATGCACACCCACTCACACACAGAGCGACAGGGAGTTAGGCTGATGCACAGTAGGAGCCTAGCTTGCAGCCAGCCTCTTAACACCAGCCCAGTATTCTGTGTTGAGTGGCAAGCATTGAGTCACATGTTGGCCTTACGGAAATCTGACATCTGAGGATTATCCCGCACCGGGCTCCAGCGACAAGCACCTATACACGCCACCCTGTCCATTCATTTCCACACTCTTATCACGCATCCCCTTGTGTGCTGTCTGTGCCGTTAACTCTTTTTCTGAAGGGCACAAAGTTCTTCATTTTGTAACGACGTTCTGCTGTCCTCCTGTCTCCTTACATAATAGGATCTACTCTGCAATTTCATATGCTAAATAAGACCTCAGAATCTATCCAAGGAACAGCAGCGATTTTTTTCTTTCTTTTTTTTTTTTTTTTTTTTTTGCAGCCTCCCGGTGCCAAACATGTTTCTAGTTTACAGAATGAGTGGAGCTATATTCCCTTACTCTGCGGCTCCTTCTCGTTGCACTAACTTCCATATACAGAATCCCATGAACTCTATTTATAGTGGAAACAGAAAGAAATCCTGGACTGCTCAATTGCTGCTTGCGTAGCACGGGTCTGGTAACAAAGAACTTTCTCTGAGGACAGCTGCTTTATGTCATCCCGTATATGAGATCTGCCAGAGGCCCACATGTTCGCTCTGTATTCTAGGCACCCAGTTAAGTGCTCGAGCACTGGATATGGTTGAGTTTGTTTTCTATATTGTCTGTATAACTTGTCCTGGTGCTTTAGATAATTGCTACAATCTAGGCAGGGGTACGCTGAATTCCATTTTCCCTTCCTATTTTAGGAATACATCTCCTTTACCAAGCAATCACCTTCGCATAAAAGGTCAAAAGCAAAAAAAAAAAAAAAAATCCAATTTGACCACTTAATAGTTATGCCACCAGGAGCAAAGGAATGGACTGAACTTTTCTGAGTTGCGGGGATTTTTTTTTTCCTTGTATCAAATTAGAGCAATTATATCCAGCTCACAATGCTTCAACACAATAATACCAATTTTGCATTGATTGCTCTGAGATTTGAATGAAGGGTCAAACTTAGCACATATTACTTAAATAACTGTTTCTTGGGCCAGTGAGGTATCTTAGTAGGTAAAGGAGCTTGCCTCTAAGTCTGATGGCCTGGGTTTGATCCCTGGAACCCACATGGTAGAAGGAGAGAACTGACTGCACACATGTGCTGTAGTATGTACACATGTGCTCACACACACACACAGGGGAGGAGGGAAAGGGGAGGGGGAGAGGAAGAGAGTGAACACACACAGACACACGATAGCATTCTACAACATAATTTGTAACAAAGTAAGTTGAAATAAAATAAGTTTCTTTTCTTTTCTTTTTCTCTTATTTTTTCTTTTTGTCATTAGGGTACCCATTACTGGTCTATGGCCATGCTGCCCAATCTTGTCTAGTCTCAGAAACTAAGCAGAGTTGGACCTGGGTAGTATGTGGATCAGAAGAAGCTCATTACTTTTGGAAAGACTTGTAAGAGTCTTCCTTTGGAGACATGATCCTGGACACAATGGATCATTCTGATACATGCCAGAATACTTTTCTTCTCTGAACTCAAACTAAATGTGTAACATAGGATATGGGTCAGTCAGCAGGATGATGGTGGCAAAGGACTACCTTAAAGGCTAAGAAATCAAGCCATTTACCATTTTCTCTGAGCCTTAGACTCTCGGGACCAATTAAATAATACAGTCGTTACTCATGGATTCAGCAAATATTTAATTACTGCTTGCTATATTCCTGTTATTCTTCAGAGGGAGGGGAACAAATCTACAAATAAGACAAAAATGTCCTTTAAAAAGCAACAACAATCTAACAACAAACCGAGGGACAAGATACTCTCAGAGGGCGTGCTGGGAGCTTTGCAGGGAGTAACACCCCATAAGAGGCTATCTAACACACAGTGGTGCAGTGAGGCTTCCAAGGAAGTGACCTGACTTGAGGCAAAGTCGCTTTGTGAAAATGTACAAGAGCCTTCCAAGCAAAGGGAAAACCGAGTGGCAAGGCCCTAGGATAGGAAAGGTTTGCACCATCCAGGAGGTGGAGGGAGCCAGGTCATGCAAGCCAGGAGAAGGAGTCAGAGCTGAAGTATCTGGAAGCCTCTGAAGAATACTAAGATGGAGACTGTTTTCTCTTCTCAAAGGGTCGTTCTACCTGTGATGTGGTAAACAGATGGTTAGGGCCCAAGAGAAACTGGTAAACTACCATAAGAACCAAGGGCATTGCGTGAAAATCACACAATTGGAAGCCATGGAGACTTCATTCTGGACACTTTTTAAGGTTGAGATGTGCATCCTGAAAAAAAAAAAAAAAGTTGCTGATGTAATCAGAACTGCCTGAGACGGGAACTAGAGACTCAGGGCTGTTGCTAAATGCGGCAAAATGCATGCATCAAGCTGGTGCTGGAGTTATTACCAGATGCAAGCATGCAGAAAGGAGAAGCAGGTTCAGGGAGCGGCTCTGTGACTACCTGCTAAAACACACCAACATCCCCAAGTCAGGCCATGAGGCCGGTGTAAACTGGACATAGGTGACATCATGAAAGTCAGAGAGAGCAGAGAAGCCCCACCTGAAAACTGAGAAGGACGGAGATGGAGAAGCCAAAGTTAGATTTGTCAATATGGAGGATGCAGGTGCCTATTACAGAAGCACTTGAAACACTGCACACTCAGTGCTAGGGGAGAGAGGAACAGAGAGGGTGGTCCTTTTTCTGTTTCTTACCTTCCTCCAGTAGGGGGAGAATAAATATTAACTGAGCATCTACTGTGCATCCTGCATACTTTCAGGCACCAGGGATATACAGTCACATCTACCTTCTCAAAGACTTCCCTGGAGGTCAGGGAGTAGTCCAAAGTGCAAGGAGCCAACGGCTACCCAGAATCTGTACACACAGATAAGGAGGACATCGCCATAATAACATTTTCTTAAACTCCTCAGAAGCACAACAAACTCCCAGAGAACTGCACGTACCCTAACTTTTTTTTTTCTCTCCCTTTGGAAAACAGAACTAACCCCAGGTCAGTCAACATGCTGAGTCCAACACAACTAACTGCAGACGCCATTTTGGACCCTCCGATCCATCAGGCAGGCATTCTGTTGTTTCTTGATAGAACTCCTAAAGAAAACATTCAACCTAGAAATCAAAGCCTTTTCCAAAACCATATGCCACCGCACATAAACAGCAAAAGGAGAGCAAGAAAAACCAAGAGTCGATCGGAAGGGAAGGTAGAACGGTCAGTGCCCAAGCCCTCTGGCCAAGTTGAGAAAACAACCCAGCCCCACCATGTGAGCATGGAGTGGGGGTCATGCTTGGTGCATTCCTTGGCTCTTTGATGCATATTTCACATTCCCGTCAAGACTATACATAGCAAGCCATCAGAACTTTGTTCTCTCTGATGGCTCACACAGAGTGCCTGCAAATAGGCCTCTTCTCGGCCGTAAAGCAGCAAGTGAAACAGAGCAAAAACACACAGCCTGGCGGTGTTCCTCTTCCTCAAGTGCAAGGTCATCCTCGTGCATTTGGCCTTCTACACAGAGCAGAGGCATCTCTCCTCTTTACATGACAAATATCAGTCACTCAGCCTTATATCCTCTTAGCAGTTGCTGGCTATTATTAGTAAGACAGAGATACCACGTAAAGTGGCTGACCTAACCGGTTTCTCCTCTATAAATCAGTAGGAAGAAATTAACTCATCCAGTCACTAATCAGCCCCCCCTCCCCGAATCTGTCCTTTAAAATACCCTTTGCACGTGCCCTGCATTTGCTGAAAACAGAGAAGGAAGCATACTTCCATACTTCGGCTGTTGTTCACATTGCCGGCATGAGGCAAAATTCAGAACTTATTTGGAAGCTCCTTACCAGCGTCAGGGGTGAGGGAAGCCAAGCTTTATATCAGTCAGTGTAAAATCTACTTTGAGTCAACGCTGCCTTCCTTCACCTGACCTCTGATTGGGGAAGTTATACCCCTTCTATACAAGTCCATATCCATGAGGGGAGGGGAGGTCTAATTCTCCATTATTCTGGGATAGCAAAATGATTTAACTGGAACACATGTCAAATCGTCTGCCAAATGGGCAAGCTCTCACCAGCCGGTCCTAATCACGGAGCAGGCCTACGAGGGTGACTTAAGTCCGGCACGAGAAACATTTGTGCAAAACTGTCAGCCACTGGGCCCAAAGCACCCATCCACATTCCAGCCCTGTGAGATCCCACCCCCCTGAGCCCGTGCCAACTGCCAACGTGCTCGCTGACTAGTACTCTCGGTGCAGGCAGCTGCCACTCAGCCAGTCAGCAAGTGGCAGGCCGCCAGCACACAAGTTTCAAGAACACCAGCCTGCTAGTCACAGTGCTGTTAAAGGTTGAAGGTCTATGGGTATGCTAGCCTTCAGATTCGCCTCACTTGCCCTCCTGCCTCCCTATGCTCTACCATGCTTCCCTGTCTCGCCTCCCACAGTAGCAGT